AATTAGACTTCTATAGCCTTTCTATATTGTCAGCATTAGAGATGTTAATTATAGAGATATAATTGAGCTGTTACAAATTTGTGTGCAAGTAAACTTTAACATGTTTGAATTGTGTTCTCAGTGACTGATCTCTGTGTTGAGATGAGTTGATATCCAATAGAAATCAAGAGGATAAGCAGTACATTTTTTTCAATCCAAATACATTTTTAAAAATCTAGGCAAAAATTGGTTCTTTGTTATACTTCCTCTGACCAGCTCCCCCTGTTGTAGTTTTCAGTCATCAACCGTAGTATTGCTGCACAAATACCTTGAAACAACAAAATTCTGAGTTTGCATTTGGTTCCAATTTTTGGGGGGGAGCGAATGGTAAGAAATTGCTGTATTCCACAAAATACTTGAATGTTATGCTGAAACATTGAGGAATCTCTTTGCTTTTCAGTTCAGCATGTAATCCAGGTATCAGAAGAGGTGTGAGAGGATGTCATGTAATGGCACAGAGTTGGAATTGGAAGGAGATTTGGAAGCCCTGGGGTTTTTATTCTTGGCTGGACTATAAACCTGTTATATGACCTTGAGCAGAGCACATTAACCCCGACTTTCCAAAGCATTTGCACTCCTGAACTGGATCTATATGTTGGTCAGTTGCAATTTCCTGTGAGGTGAGAATGGTGCCTTAATAGGGTGCAGACAGATCATTAACACAGAATGCTGCAAAATTCTCCACTGAAAAGCATTACAGGCAGTGGGAAGTATTATTAGGAACTAATAATATTATAAATTAGTCATTATAGTATAGTTAGGTTTACCCTATGATGCTGCACTTTACCCTGAAGAAAGATAAGTCATAAGCTGCTTAGAAGTTTTTTTATAGAGTAGAGTGCAGCATTTAAGGGCCTTCAGAACATTTCTGCAATATTAAAATGATTTTTCAGCCTGCATAGTAGCTTCTTCAGTCTAGTCTAAGGTTTTAAAAAAGTAAAACAAACAGAAGCCCAAGGTATTATTTACTTAATTAGTCCTTTCTGCAGCATGAATTTATTTCTGAACTTCATTTCTGCTTAATAAGTATCATATCTGTTGATGATCCTCATGTTACTAAGCAACACCAACATCACCAAATAGTAGGGGAAAAACACGTAATAAGGCACTATCATTCTGATCATGTGTCATGGGGTTAATTTCCTAAGAAATGTCTTCTCAGATTCAAAGAGTGTGCAGTGCAGCACTGTAAAATATATTGTTTTCATTATAAAAAGCAGTTCATATCTCCTAAAAATGTGCATTTAATTGCATAAAGGCATAAAAGCAACATAAAAATTATTCAAATAACATTCCAATTATATATGATAAATCATCTTTAAAACCTTTACACTTATGTAGCAATTATAACTTAACCACAGGATCTAACATCTTAGAGCTTGGTTGAAATCAATCAAATATCTTAGACTGAAGCTAGAATGTTGTTCTGATAGAATTGCTCCCAAAGGCAATTTTTATCTGTTTAGGCACCAGTTTTACAGCACATTCTGAATTTGATTATTTGTGGTAGAATTTCCTGGGTAAGGTTTTGTTCTAGCAATGACTCTAAGAAATTTGTAAAACAACTAATTAATTACAAACTGGTTGAACTACCATAACTGTTTTTAAAAATGCTACTAATACTTTGATCCATAGAAAATGCACAATCTCTTCTGCTACTTGCTTTCTGAGCGTGTTTTATAGAGAAACATTGATTTTGGATGCTAAATTAAAACAGACTCTCATTCACATCACGTGTGAACCTGATAATATTTTGGAAGACCAATCTTTCCTCAGTAATAAGTATGAATTTCTCATTCAATCTCTTTGGGTTTCAGTATGAAACTAGAAAACACTAAGGTAATTAGTGATAAAATAATATTAGTGTGTTGAGGTTTTTTAAATAAAATAAAAAAGTGAATTTGAGCATTTTTTCATCTATCACCAGATCTAGGAAGAACACATCTCTGTCTATACCACTGCAGAGTCCCCAGTTTCAAAGACTTGTTTCTTTTTTTAATCTGGTTTTAGTTTATTTCAGAGAAAATCCTACTTTTTTCTCTTCCATTCTGCTTTTTTTATTTAAACTATTAACCTTTAGTTAATAGGTAGTCTCAAGAATACTTATTATCAAAAACTCTAAAAAATTTTTTTTTTCTGTTTAAATAAAGTTGCCTAAAATACCTGTCAAGAATCAGTTCATGAAATTGTTTCAAGATAGAATAGTTCTGGAATTTAAATCAGATAATGAACTGTATGTCTCCACCTTGGTATTTGCAAGTCATTCCTTGCTTGGCAGACTTTCAAGATAGCATTGCCTTAGTTCAAAACATTATATACAGGTGTACATGCATTTGTAATGTATAATGTGCTGTATTAGCACAAACGAGGTAAATTGAAAAAAATGGTAAGGTGATTACAAAAACATTTTCTCAGTCTTCCTGAAATAATTTTAATTTAAAACCGACAATGAGTGGAATGTAAATTGACACTGGGATTTCAGAACAGGTTAAAAGAAAGATTAACTGCTCCCTTGCCCTTCACTCCAAAATCCCACTCTAGTGGCATCACCATTCTGGAAAGCAGCTGTGCTGCCATATGTTGCTACTTCAGAGACCATCTTATGTATAGCTCTACTATTACTCAGACTGAACTGTTCAAAAATTTGGCTTGAAATTATTAAAGCAGAGTCACTTGTTTGAAGGCCGGCATTTCAGGAGTCATCCGGGGTGTGATGCGTCATATTTCATGCTGTACATTCTATGCAGCTTTTCAAAACGAACCCTAGCTCCCATTATAGCAGAATGTATTTTAATTCCTCACAGCACCAAACAGCATGTTTGCTATTGCCCAAATTTGTCATCCAAAAGAATAGTAAGCACAAGTGGTTTTGGTATAAACATACCTGTTCTTCCCTCCTCTAATTGCTAGAAATGCTTACATTCTCTGCTCTTGAGAACTTCAAATAGAACTTCCATGTGCAGTTCTTAGTAAAAAACTTGTGATCTTTAAAATGAAACTTCCATTCCAGTTGGTAAAGGAGAACAGTATTTTCTGCAGTCTGGCATTACAAAGCCAATTTGTACTTGGACTTTTCCAATATTTAGTAATTGTGTGTTTACACACTTTTGCTAGTCGAAACTGTGCTCTTTTTGAAGAAGCAGTTGCCCTTTAGGTCTTGCTTGGACACAACAGGGAATCCTCTCCACAGATTTCCTCACTAAAGGTAATAGTTTATTTTTTAAATGACAATTTTAGGGTTAATATTTGCTATCTGTCTGTGAGTTTAGCACTCATTGAGGCTAACAAGAGTCATTCCCTAGATACCCAAGAAGCTGGAGTAGGTTTTAATAAGATATAGAAAATAGATTTAATGAATCTACTGCATTGCCTAGACTGTTATTATCAAAAATTTAAAATCTTTAAGTCTGTAAAGTAAGCCTTAAAGTAAACAATTTTTAAATAGAAATATTGAATGTTTCTCAGGGCCATGACAAATGGGAATTGACTGCGTTTTCTAAGGTTGTTTCTAAGAGACAGACCAATATATTCAGAAAAAGAAAGACTTAACTGACAGTGAAACTGAAGAAGGAGCTGAAGTTGTAGCAGTTCTGAGACTACTTTAAAATATGAACAATAATTCAAATAGATTTCAAAAATGGTTATTGTTTTTTAAATGACTGCTTCTTCACTGTATGAGAAGGCTTGTTTCCACACTCTACATTGATAAACAAAACAAGTTAAGAATGTAATCTAACCTAAAAGTCTTAAAATCCTGTAATTGCTCAGAAATGGAATGAACCCGAAGAATCCTTTCAATAAGCATTTGTCCTGTAAGATTTTCAGACATAGAAATTGGCAATCCAAGAACAGTGGTTCCAGTGCAATGTTGCATTGATCTGAATTTTTTATTCTCATTGTGATGGCAGATCTGTAAGCAATCTGTTTCAAATAATATATACAGGCTACCCAAAAGATTTCAAATGTCAGCAAATCAAGTTACAGAGACATTTTCTTTCACTTATATTTCCATGGGCACATACCTGCAAGCCTAAAATTTTTACAAATTTTGGAGATATTTAACATTCACCACTTCTTAAAATGATCATATGTTACGTGGATTAAGGAAAAGAAGTTACTTAACTTCAAACAGACTTGATTCCCTTCAGACATTTTTAAGTGCCCAGAAAGCATCCAGTTGACTCTTATATGGATGGAGTTTTGGAGTAACTGCAGAATATTACCTGATATTTGCCAAGATTTCCCCAACACTTAACATGACTATGCATCACAACACTTGGATAGTTGAAAAGAATGCACCGTCTCATTTATTTTTTTCCAAGGTTGATCCAACTCAGTCACTTTATTCTTGCTTTTCTGATCTAAAGGGCTCAGGTTTCAAATTTTTGTCTATACCTGGGTTTTGTTTTCTGTGTCTAAGTAAACAGCAGAACTGTTTTCATATTATTCATATCTCACTAGAACCCAAATGGTTGCACAACCACCCAGGTCTGTTAATTAGATTAGGATATACTAATCTAGCAGGCAATTTGAGGAAAGGCATTGACATTCAACCATACTTTGGAATTATTTTTAATATCATAGTGGGTATGGTATTTATAAAAAGAGAAGTATGTGTATAAATGGAAGGTAATCAGGAAAATCAAAGCGAGCAACTAATGGTTTTTAAAATTTAAAATTTAAATTTAAAATTTAAAATCAAATAAACAATTCTAATCTTCTGCTTAGAGGAAATCAAAGCTGTTGAATAGTTAGTATCCATCATTGGTCACCCATGGGTAAGGGGAAAAAAGAACACATGGGGTTCTTCTTGTCCTCCTGAAATGAAACCAGGGAAAGCAAATAACTTCACTATAAATTTTCAGTTGGGATCACAAATCAGATTCATTAATTGAATTGTGAGTTGAATTTTCAGCTGATGATGGGTTTGGAAATACTGACTTGTCTTATTTTTTTTGTAGATGCTTCAGAAACTTGCTGCGTGCTTACCACGGGTTCTGCCAACCATCTCGAGAGGGGACTTACCTATTCTTTCATTAGTAAGCATAACATTATCTTGAAATAATTATTCCTCTCCACATGGCCTTCCTACTAGTGTCAGCTTATCTTCTGCTGACTCATGCTCGGGGTGCTCCTGTTGAGAATGGGGCACTGTTGGAAACACTGAAGTCACAAGTAGGATTATTCAGCAATAAAAGTGAACACTATTCAGCACAGGTGAGACCTCCTGGCACGAGCCGACAAATACCTCAGACAATCATCATAGGAGTTCGTAAAGGAGGGACAAGGGCTTTGCTGGAAATGTTGGATATTCATCCTAATATTGTGGTAGCAGCTACAGAAGTCCACTTCTTTGACTGGGATGAAAATTATGTGAAAGGAATAGACTGGTATAGAAATCTGATGCCATTTTCTTATGGAAATCAAATAACAATTGAGAAAACACCAGGCTATTTTACATCACCACAGGCTCCAGGAAGAATTCATGACATGAATAGTTCCATTAAACTGCTGCTCATTCTAAGAGATCCCACTGAGAGAGTTATATCTGACTATACCCAAGTATATTACAACAGAGTAGAAAGCCACAAGCCTGTTCAGCTTTTTGAAGATATTGTTATTAAGAATGGAGTGCTTAATACCAAATACAAAGCTATTCAGAGAAGTCTATATGACGTTCATATGGAAAAGTGGCTTAAGCATTTCAGTTTGGATCAGATTCACATAGTGGATGGCAATACTTTAATCAAGGACCCTCTTCCTGAATTACAAAAAGTTGAAAGATTTCTAAATCTTCCTTCCCGAATTATGTCTTCTAATTTTTATTTTAACCAAACCAAGGGATTCTACTGCATTAGAAGTGATGGAAGGGAGAGATGTTTACATGAATCCAAAGGACGTCCCCATCCTCTTGTTAACAGCACTGTTTTAGAGCAATTGTATTCTTACTTCAGAGAGCACAATGCAAAATTTTACAGAATGGTTAATCATTCCTTTGACTGGCATTAATACATTTGGAGCTGATGTTCCTTAAAAAGGGACTGAAGCAAACTCTTTCAAACATATCTTTATAAACTGTAAAGACCCGTATTATGAAAATTAACATACCGGTTATATGCTTCATTGGAATAACACATCTGTTAATTCATTGAAATGGAACTCTTTATGTTGGGAAAAATAAGTTTTATGTATTTGTATGATTACTGTGAGTCATATTCTGATCTTTCATCATGCAAATACATTAACTTCAGCAAACTTAGGACAGATGTGTATCTCTACAAGATTTGTGCTGTTTTGGAAAAGTGCTTCTAACTGTAAAAGATGTAAATATTTGAAATGGTATTATTCTAACTGTTCTGTATTTTTCGTTGTTATAATTTTTTTATATCCCACACAATGATAGTGGTGTTGATTTCTAGAATTTTCATAAAATAAGCTAAAATTGTATGTTAAAACAGGGGCATAAATAGCGGCTCCAATAAATCATTCATCCTCTTTAATATGCTGAAGTACTTAATCAATAAATAATAAAAGGAATCTCCTTCACCTGTAATTTTGAATAGGTGAACTAGAAGCTACCTGTCTGTATATCATTAATATTAAACTATTAAACCACACTCTTACTATCCTGGGTTTGCAAAAAAATCTCCACAGTAAGAGCATGAATGGTTCAAAGAAGATTAAAGTGAGAGTTCTGAATGTAAAGAAATTAAAATATCCCAGGCAGCGTCAATTTACAGTGATACTTTATACACTAAAAAAAAAAAGGCATGAAAATTATTAGTATCAACAGCTGTACAAATATTTGATTATATCAGTTTTGTCACTTTGCTCTTGAATGGAAAGGTTCTTAGTTAGTACTACCATATTAATTATGTTTGCATTCTGTGACTAGTTATTCTATTGCTCTCCTGGCATTAGTTTATATATCTCCATTGGCACATTGATTCTAGTTTAAAAAAATTAATTATTTGTTTGCCCCCTGAAGCATGGAGTAGTTTTTATTTTGCCATTTCTATGCAGATCATGGAATACTCTCAAAATAACACCTTGTTAAGTTATATATCTCAGACAATGTTCAATATGTTCAGTATGACATACTCAGATTATATTTAAGAACCACATCTGTCTATAGCCCTGCATTAGGATTCTATTTTCAATTTTTATTTTTTTTATTACAGTATTGCACTGGTCTTTTCTACTTTTTCTTGTAAACATTTTATTATCAATACCAAAGAAAAAAATCGACTTGAAATGTTACATTTGCTGCCAGATAGACCTACAGACGCAGACGTGCTTGTTTGCCATTGTACCTTGCAATCCAGACCCCCCGGTGCACCCCCTGGTATAAGCAGCACTCATCAGGTGCCCTGAGAGCACTGGGGAGCTGCAGTGGTGTGGGCCCACCCTGCCCTGGGGAGGGTCCTGCTGCTGTGTCCCGTCTGTCACTGCTCAGCCTGCAGGAGTGTCTCTTCCTAGCATGGGGTTCAGTCTTCCACTTCACAGGCTAAAAGGTATGTATTGCAGTGCTAATTTTTGGGCTTCTAATACTTTATGACTGGGCTACTTAGATATTAGGCAGGTAGTAGTATTCCACTGAAGCTGGACAGAATCAGAATCAACTCAGAGTATGTGGAAACAACCTTCATCAATATTTCCTCTATAAATGTAAAATGTTAAAAATACTATAATAAATCTTATTATTTATCTGTTCCACTACTTGTATATGAATATATGAGAGAAAATTATTTTCATTAGCATATAATTAATCTTTGAAATTACCTGTCTGGAATATAATTGTTTACTACATCTTTGATTTCTACAGAGGCCCAAATTGTTTTTTTATTTCTGCCACTTTTTCTGAGATTGTGGCTTCTTAATCATTAATATTGATCAGATGTGGGCACTAAGAAGTACAATGTCAATGGGACTCTGTGGAAATATGAATATATTTGTTTCAAATTAGCCAAAGAATGCGTTGTTTATGCTGGTCTTCTACCATCTCTACAAGGACATTGAATGGGTAAACTGTAATAATTACAGTTGTACAGGTTAACAACATCTCCTTTGTCATTTGTCAAGTAAAAAGTTACACCATAAAAATTCGGAACTCTGAATTAACAGTGTCATTCCATATCAGAACAACTCTGTATTTTGTGGGCACGGCACTTTTGTCTGATAACAGAAGTCCCAAATTCAGATTCACAGTATTTTTTAACATAGCCTGTTCTTTCTGACCAATGTAATCTCAGTGATAAACAAAACCCCTTCCAGTCCACTAATTTCAGATTTACATTATTGAAGATAGCAACATAAGTGCAATTTGTGTTGGATACAAATATATTACTTTGTTTCTCATACATTCCAAAACTCTCTTCCTTCTCTCTCTCTCTTTTTTTTTTTTTTTTCTTGCAAGAAGCAAATTTGAAAGCAATGTATACTTTAGCAAAGGTTTCAGGTAGATGCTAGTAATTGAAGAATTCACATATCTATATGCCACATTCAATTTCATAGGCTTCCAAGAAAAAGGAAGGGAAAAAATTCTAATGTCTTTCTATATTTATGCCTGCAGACATCCAGTCTTTCTCTTTCTTCTCTGAGTTTACAGCTAATCTTTAAATGAGCTGAATGCAGGAACACCGGTTGGCAGGAGCTTTATGCATCTTTGAAAATGCAGGTCCCTTTCTGGAATTTACTTTTAAAGGAGAGCTGAGCTGTATGGATTAGTGATGCATATATCTACTTGATTTGTTATCACCCTTCATTCCTGCTCAGCACTTTTGTGAAGGACAGAGTTGATGGAATTGATTCAATGATCATTTTAGAGTTTACTAAGTTGATGGAATGAATTCAGTGATCATTTTAAGTTTGCTAATATCTTGAGAAGTATATTATGTATAGTATAATCTGGGTGAAGGGTTAGTTGGTTTGGTTTGGTTTCGCATAAATCAAGATTCTCATCGTAAGTTTAGCTTCAGTAAATTGTCTAATAACCTCTGCATAACAGAATTCAATAAAAATAATAGACTGTAATTTTATATTGCAGACTATTTCAATCAATTTCTCATTTTGTGGTCTGAAAAATATGCTTTCATGCAGTCCTGGCCTTCTCCATTCTTACTGTCTTCAAGCAAACCCTCCTTGCCTCATGCTCAGGACAGGGATTAGATCAACTTAACAGACAATCCACTGAGTCATACTTAAATAATACTGAAATAAAAGTACTCAGTTTTTGGCACGTGGAATTCAGAACTAGTCAATTTTTGGAAAGACCTGTAGGCTTACAATCAGTTTAAAGCTGTTGTTAACAAGTCAGTTCTCAATTTAAGAAATTACAAATATCTCATTAATTTCCACAATTAATAGTAAACCATAAACTATTCTTCTCCACATGGATCATCAAAGGACTTTCAACTTATTATCTGATACTCAAGAGGTGTTTGCAAAAGTAAATTTCAAGTGTGCAGATCGCTTTAAGAGGTCATGCAGTTGTTTCAATGGTTTTTGGGAGCATCTGAAACAGATGATACAGTCACATGTGTAATACTACTGCAGAACCTGTGAAGATTTGATTTTGTTTTACATTCCACAAATACTAAGCTTTCACTTTAAATATTGTTCTGTTCCTTTTTTAGTGAAAATGCCGTAGTTATAGTTGCTTTGGTCTGATATCACTGAGAATTAACAGTATCAAGCAACTGCAGCTGTAACTGGATCAGTTTAGCCTTTGCCACAATAAGGAGCACACACACTTAGTATCTACGTGAGTCTAATATTATTATTTTTTTATATACACTATATATATATTACCAATAGTACATAAAGAAAAATTACTGGGAAACTTAAAAGCTAGGATTTTGCCCCAAAAAGCTCCTAGTATGTAACTAATGGGAAATAAAGAAAGAACTTCCTCTATTGCACTCACACCCATTATTTTAACAGGAATAGGGTTGGATTTTTTCTTTGTATCCTCTGTATCTAGCCTGGCTTTTGATCTTTTCTTTCATAGCTTAGGCTTGATAGAGCATTTACAGTTCCTCTTAAAGAATAACTGTTAAAACAGAGACATTTTTTCAATATTGTGAAAAATTTTATAGAGGGCATGCACATCATTGCAAGCTGCTACACATCAGCTCCTTCAGTATCCACTTGATACAAAGACAATAATCCGATAAAGATTATCTAATGATGACCAGTCAGATTGACTACTGTATGGAAGCACATCCACATGAGGAGTTTTCAGTCTTCATACACATCAAAAAGATATTTTAAAAAATAAGTTGTTTCTACCAAATTTGACTGCTCATTGCCTTTGCCTATTCGGATGCTTTCATAATTTAGACAAAACTTTTAATATTTACATAATCCCTCTAATTTCTTGTTTAATCTATGTGGTCAAACACAAAAATATTACTTATCAGTTTGCTTACACAGTTTAATAGAAAAAAAAAGAAAAATACTTATTCCCCAATACCTTGATTCATAGTAAGAATTGCACAATAACCTTTCCTTGCAGAGAAAGGAATATTTAAATTATTAAAATAAGTAATATAAAATTGTAAATTATTATTTTCTATATTTGTGGATTTGCTTCTTCATTTCCTTCAAAAGCTGAAATAGAAATACACAGACACATTGGAAATAAAATCAGTAATAATTTGCCTAGCACATTAATCATTACAAGCAGTTAATGAACAATATTTAGCTACTGGCCAAATAATTTCCACTTCAATTATTTCAAGTTTCAATGTGACTTACTAAATCATGCTGCTATTTTCTAAAACTAATTTAAAAGTTAAAGCCAACGGTGGCTAAAAAGACTCTGTAGTATCATTCTGTGATTACAGAGGAATTGTATTGTCTTGTCTTTAAGGTTAATTAACAGTGACATGTGCTTACTACAATTCCTGAAAATATTTTGGAAGCCAAGATTCTAACAGAATGCAATGTATAAATTGGTCCTTGAACTGCAACTTAGAGAAAATACAACAGATGAAAACAGACTGCTATAAATCATAGTTTTCTCTTAAAATCTATGTGATGCAAAATTTACAGCTTCTCCTGTATTAGCCCATCTACACAAGTACTATGAAGTCTATTTTCTGATGCAAAAAAGCTTTACACTTTTACATTGTATGTTTTTTCAGTTCCACCACAAAAACCTCTTGGTAAGTGTGTAAAGAAAAACATCTTCATGTAAACTCTTTACTGGTGATACAATTTTTCTCTCAAAGGTCATTTCTCTAGTTTTGTATCGTTTCCTCTGAGATAAAAAGGTGGTTTGAGTCACCCTGCAATAAAAGTAGAGAGTTATCATGTCAGAACTAAGAATTTTACTTCTGTTTATTACAGTTCTCAGTGAAAAACATTTTCATATAGGGACAGACAATAGTTTAACAATCTCTGTATTTTCTCTCTTTATTACTTAATACAGCTCTTAAAATTTTTCTTATTCTGAAAATAACATTCTGAAGAATGTTACTCGAAATGCTTACATTGTCACTCTAGAGCTCTGACTTAGGGATTTAAATCGGATGGCAGTAATAAAAAGGAAGCACAGGTAATTAAGAATCCATTCCCTGTGCCTCTTGGACTGGATAGGGTTTTCTTATTTTTAAACTCTTTTGATGTGAACATAAATTTTCTACTAGGAATGTATCAGCCAAACTTGCAATATGAAAAAATAGGACAAGGGCGACTAGAATGCAGTAAAACCTGAGCTGAAGGCCCTCTTCTGCTAAATATTTGTTGATATAATATGGCACGGTTACAAATGAAAATTATGATTGTCCTGGTAAGACAATGCACAGGACTAAACATGCTATTCCAGGGATTTATCTAGGTATTCTACATGCCTGAATGAATGTTATGATCATTAGGCTATTAGGGACACACTCGAATATACATTTTCAAAACACTGTATTTCACCTTATTAGAGAGTACTACAATGCTGTAGGACAGGTTGAGTATATTATGCCTATCCTTGGCTGAAACTCTGCAGTGGTATAAAGGCAAGCTGGATGGGAAGTAACAACTGCCCACACAAAATGTTGGGCATTTTAAAATGCCTTTTGGAAAATCAGCAGCACTGGAAGCAGCACGTTTGTTGATTTGACAGGGACTGTCAGCCTAGAAAAATGCTGTGCAGCTGTCATGAGAAGATTGAAGATACCTTTTCTATACTCTGCCATGATACAAATCTACAACTCAAGACAAGTGACACAGATGGAACACTGTAAACTGCAGAGGGGGGCATTGCTGCCTTAAGTGAAGAAAGATTAAAGGCTCATAAACAACATATGCTATAGTTACACACACACACACATCATACAGAGCTTGCAAACTAGAGTCTAAAACAAAACCAAGCAGAACCTACAGCTCCACACAAAAGTGACCGTGTTGAAGGTGTGCTAAACCAGAGGCAACAGTTACAATATGAGCTATCTATAATTTAGTATTTGTCATATTAATAAACTGAAGTTTGTTTACACCATGCGCTAGGTATCTTCTGTGAGCTAGCACCATATACTGCTCTTAATATTTTCACCTTACAGACAATGGGATTTGTATCCTCAGATTCAAAATAAGCTTCATCTATTATGTGTTTGCCAGACAACAGTGTTTATGTGATTGAAGTCCTTTGTCAGGTGTACATAAGACAAAATTAATAAAACAGATATACAGATTCTCTGGGAAAAATGGCTAGTGGATCACAT